AATTGAAGAACATATGGAACTCAGACCAACTGGCAACCAATATCAAAGTCAGAATCGTCAATACGAACGTCGAGATATTTAGTTCTATTGTAAGGAGCTGGAATTCGGAGAACTACTTCAACCATCATCAAAAAGGTACAAGTATTTATAAACAGTTGTCTGCGCAAGATACTTAATATCCGTTTGCTGGACAAACCAACTTCCATCTGAGGAAGAAATTAGGAAAAGACGGATAGGACATACATCGCGGAAAACACCAAACTGCATCTCCAGGCAAGCGCTAACTTGGAATTTTGAAGGGAAACGGAAGTGAGGGAGATCAAAAAATACACTGCTCTGAGAATTAAAAGCAGACATCAAAAGAATGAATAACAATTGGAAAGGATTTTTCGGGACAGAGTTCGATCGAGAATGCTGGTGAGAGGCCAATGCTCCTCGATGAGGGGTAACAGGTGTAATTAAGTAAGTAAGAAATGTTCGTCGAACTTTATTAAGGATAACATCCAAATTTTGTATGTCATTCAAATGAACTCTGTTTGTTTTCAGCCGGTCAAGACATTTACCAAACTTCTTACTAACCCTTTCCTTTTCTCCTTAACTGGTGATTCGATGTACCATAATACCCATAGAAATTTAATTATTTAATAATAAAAAATAATACTTGAAATTAACAGCACTGTGAATCACTCTTCTTCGTGTTTATAAGTTTTATTACAGAAATTGATGAAATCATACATTTTACGATCTGATAACTACGTCTGTTATCAATATATACTTAATTCTGCTCTGATATGTTTTCAGTAATTGTTCATCATACAGTAGTCGGCATTATTCCATTTCGTTGATGACAATATAAATGAAATAAATTCAATTATTTGGGATATTTATCACTTTAAAAGTAAAATTACTAATAAGCACACTTCCGTTTTTAAGAATTTAATTTTATTCTACTGTTATGTTTCATAACGAGGATATACATAAAACCATGAATTCTGTCTACAGTTATTCAGGTTGAATATTCTATGCACAGAATTAAAATGTCCCAAAAATTTATTAAAATCCAGTTTGTGGAAACTTTACTACAGTTCACACTGGACATTAATATATTTAAGCCATGATATGAGATCTGTGTGAGACCATAGTTGGAACACAAGTATTTTAAAGTCATTTTTGATCATAATGAATAACTCTTAGCTTTGACTGATTTGCTTAATATCTACTTTGGTACTAATTGACCTTATTATACTTAAGAGAATACACAAATTCAGCCTAATCCGCGTGGTAACTTATTTCAGGTAGGCTGATGTTAGTTTTTTCAAAAATTAAAGAAAAATTATTTGCCTTTTAGACCACTACCATAATATTTGAAACTTAATAAGTTGGGTAACCCTCAACAACTCATGCTGGTCAGCAACATGTATTCTACCATGTGTATTTTATATATAAGATTTTTAGTTGAGGTGAGATAATGTCTATTAAAATAGTTAGTACTATTAATGACTCAGTAATTATAAGTTTCCGTTTGGAAAAATTTGTCATTTTTCCAATGTGAGTCTCGTGAACTGTATTGATAATGATTACTTTCATAACAATGTAACCTGAGAATGGTAAACTAAACTGCACGTGTACATGCTTTTCTTATTTTTCTTACTGTTATGAATATAGTTCATTGTCATTTTGATGTGAATACTGACTATTCTGGAATATGATAAACTTGTCATGGTCATTTTGGTGATTATCTGTTTGTTGTTATAATTTTCCCACTAATAACCAAAGCTGTTGTGATTGAAAGTTTCTTTCTTTTATTGGCGTGATAGTCAAAAATGATTGGAAGGAAATTAAATCATGTAAGCAGAATAACTTGTATCAAGGGGCATAAATTATACGTATTAATTCTACAGTTTTCTTCCTAATAACTTAGTGTTTGATAAATTATTGATCAATTCAGACCTCTCATAAGCTGATAGTATAGCATTTTTGTAGTGGACTTTTTGAATAAGAGATATCTATTAACAGTTGTTAAATTTATTTTCAATCGAAATAAAATAAATTATTCAAGTTATTTTTTGAAGTGTTTCTTACTCACAAAGTTTTCAGTGCTATTACCCTAACTTTCTATGGTGGTGTTTTAGATAGTATTACACCACTGTGTATTGCTATATGTTTCAACCGATAGTTCCAGTTGATGCCTTAACATACTCTATTTTTTAAACATATTACATTATGCATCCATAACGAACCCCAAACATTCTTTTCTATCTTGTTACAATTCTCAAATCCGGTCAAAAAATGTAATTTATTCACTAATCCTTTTAATATAAGGATAGGTGCATCTATTGAGTATACAGCATTTTAAGAAGTAACTAAACGGTTTTAAATTTAGACCATTATACTAGATTCATCTGTAAATTGAATTATTCTATGGTCTACGACTGAACCGATGATCATATTTTGTCGATTCAGTGCTAAAAAACGCCGACTGTTTACAGTGTAATGACGGATAGAAGAATGCAATCTACCAGTCAAGTGGGTTTTAACAGAAAATCTCTGAGGATCTCGAAACAATAAATGATTACTTAGTGAAAATAATAACATGAATTCATAAACACCGAGAATTTTTAAAATTTTAATGGGCTTCATTCTAGACTTCATACTCAGTTAAACTTCTTGGAGAATAAAATTTAAAGTGCAAACGATCAGAAAACTTGAAGACTATCTAAACTGGTGATATTAAATATACCCTACTTTATGAATATTACTGACAGTAAAGGCATTCATCTACCCCATTAAACTATCATATATATATATGCAAACTGTCAATCAGTTGTTTAAAACTTGACTGATCCTTTTGCGAATGTCATCTCAGGCTTCACCGTTCTTTCATTTTCACAGCAATTGTTCACTGTTCTCGTTCTCTTTTCTTCGATCTTCTTAACCTTCTGCTGCAGGTATTCCACTTTCGATTGATCGTACATACTACTTATATCTGTCGACATCAGTAGCACACACCACAGTACGACATATGCAATCTTAACACTGCTACAACAATGTCGTATCGACCGATATGAGCAGTCTAAAGTTCTTATTAGTTCTTTTTCTACATAGCCCCGCCTATTGAGTCCAGAACGCCAATATCGGTTTCCACTGTGCGAATCATTTATTTCAGACATATTTGCTTTATATATAAGCAAACTAAAGTACATCATACCATAAATAAAAAATAACAGTTGTGCAAGATCAAGCCCAAAAGTGATTGTGGGAGACTAATGGACAAACTGAGTATAATTTAAGAATACTAAGTAGTATCATAATAGTCTATAGGTCAAAATAAAGCTTATAATAAGAGGAATATAAATATACAGAATCTAGTTACACAATAGTTATACAATAGTAACAAATGTACAATGTTAGTTCATTAATAGCTCTCAAAAGTTACCCATAAGTTAATCTTCGCCAGGATATAACAATAAGAATATCAGTTAAAATGCCAGTTGCATGAAATGCATGTAAAGCAACAACAAGCATCATTAGTTTTCTCGCGAGATTTCGAATGTCTTCTTATTCGCAGCTCCCAACACCATAATCATTTTAATAGCACTCGCCTTAAACTAAACTATTACACCCCTTCCGTATTATCGAGTAGGCGACGTAAGCCAACCAATAAAATATACGCATTTGATTGGTTAATTAAAATTTGACCTCATTCCTTTTCTTGCTTCATGATTGGTTGAATAGTCTTCTTAACGGTACATAGCCTAAATTTTTACAATATATACACAGAAAATAAAAGCGGAATATTTCTCGTTCGTCCAAGCCGGAACTAAACAAAAGGTATGCATACAGTGATTTATTACTTTAATCTAAGCGTTACATGATTAGAATTTCAATTTAATCTGAATTCACATGTAAGTCTGTCACAAATCATAAAAGTAAGAATTTTAAAAGTGGGTTGACTGACAAACTCATAACACCACTCTTATGACTTTGCTTATCTAGATAAAACTTAACTTTATAGAGTAAGTTTAGTTGATATCCCGTCTCTTACTCAATATTCGGAGACTATGTGTACAAGCACTACTGTCAATAGTAAAGTCAAACGAATTTCGCAATATGATTTTATTAATGAGACTTCGTTTCCAAGATTGCACAGCAACCATTTATTAAAACAAGACAATCGAACGATGATTTTGTTTTGTTCTAGTCTAACCATTACGAGGTAACCTAATAAACAAATATATTCCTACATTGCCACTGTATAACAGATTAGCTGAGTTAAATTATGTATAGATTATCATAAAACAGCTTGCAGAGAAGTATGCTTATGAACAAATGAGGAAAGGTCATAGATTTTAAAATTATTTGTTGTTTCTATACACCGACATGAAAAGAAATAATGGCACAGCATCAATCTAAATTACTAGAAATTGGAGTTTGACTTTTACATAGCTGTGATAGTATTTACTGGAGTTTTAAATCACGGACTAACTTCGTGCACTACTGTCAATTGACTGAGTTTAGAAATACAAACCATTGAAAACCAGCTCAACAATCTGGGTGTCAAACTCTTGACTGGGGGCCTGTAGGTTTTAGATACTATCTTTGGTCAGTTTTTACATGCCCATTACTAAATAGTCCCTTACGAGAATAAAAATGTTGTCCAAAGCCTTCTAATTTCCAATGGTTGTTCAATCAAAGTCATTCCCCAATGCAAAACTACGAAATTCAACAATTCCCTATGCTAATGACGATATTGTATCTGATAATCGTTTATTGTGACCCTGATGCAAGACAATTTATCATGATCTGTGAGCCGAATGAAGTAGAAATTATCAATACACAATCTTTTCAATATTGAGTAGTTATTCAGTCCACTTAAATCACGAAAAAGACTAATGTTTTTGTAATTTTTGTTTTATGTTTAACATTCACTGTACATTCCTCAAAATAGTTTTGGTGAAGAAAATTTTGTTTCTTTATGCACATTAGTTCATGAGCGAAAAATGAACCGTACAAATTCTCCATTAGATGAAGCGTATGCGACATGCAGTGGATTGGATTTAACTTTAAAAGATCAATCTGTTTTGGAATCCCATGTACAAGCCTCATCGACACCAAGACGATTAAATTATATCCCATCAAAAACTCTTCACGAACAAAACGATTATTATTGTTCAGAACAATTTAACGCCGAAAATAACTCTTTTATCATTAGTGAACATATAAACCAAGTTCAAAAAAGTAACGAGTCTCTAGAGAATAATAAACAACTTGATCAACGACTTGGATTTAACTATAGTTCAGGATCATTTAACAGCAAAGGTTCAACTGTTTCTTGTTACCACTCGGTGCAATCAAATAATTTGGACTATAGTAAAGAAACTGCAAATCCTGATAAACTAAGTCCCCTTGACTTACGTATTAAGTCATTCTCGGATGATGTTAACTTGATTAATAACAGAGACAGTGGATATTTAGTTATTACTACAGACACCAAAACAGAATGTGAAATATCCACCCATATATTCTTATCTAATCAGGCGATACCTCAGACAAAGCGTTCAAATATTGAAAAACAAACGGGTAGCTCCTTTAACATCCAGTCCATACTAGGAGTAACAGATCAATTTAAAGTATTTTCTGAAACTACCAGTAATACAGATAGTAATACAAATGATGATAACATAAAAAATAATAATATAGAGATAACAGATCGAACAAAAACCTCAAATTCTTTTTTCGATCAGTTTCTAGTTGGTTATTTGCAAGCAATGAATCCATTACTACTGAGTTCACGTGGAATTCAAATACAGAGTGTAATTACACCACAACCGGTGGACACTACTGTAACCATACAGTCTACAACTTCAGTCTCGACGACACTCCCATTAAATGAAACAGGTACTGTGAAATTCTCAGTTAAGCAGCGTGCAAAAAAGTTGAATCCTACTACATCAATGTATAGCATAACTAACGGTATGACCAATAGACAATTACACGTGAAAAATAATGATCCCATTCATGGCAGTTTAAAACAAACGGAACGTATTCAACAATCAATGAAGAATGTTTACGATTTGAGTGGTTCATCGCTCTCGAGTGAAGATGATGTAATAACCAGACAACGAGCCAAAACGTCTGACGTAGGAAAAACACCTGTTATTCTTTATTGCCCCGAACCATCAGACAGCAAAACAAAAGTGAAGGTAAAACGCTTTGTTCTGGTCAAATTTGAGTTGTACTTCTTTCCATTTATTATTTTTTAATGAATATATATATTAAAACCAGAAAAGTTTGGGAAATGAAAATCATGTATCATTCCTGATTTGGACTAATGAACAGTAGACATAATTAATTTGCTTTTGGTTAAATAGTGGAAGACATTTGAAGTATCAACCACGTTGGTAAATGTTTTGACTGATATATTCAAGTGTCATGAATGCCTACTGTCAACTTGGAGCAGTTTTCTGGTTTAAAAACGATGTACTCCCACCGAAATATTCTCTGCAAATTGAGAGTTATCTAATTAATATTAAAATGTTATAATGTTACTGAACTAAGTAACAATCAGTAAAATAATTTGATAGTGAGACGATGGTAATTCTTTATATAATTAAGCATATTCATACATTGGAACTTCTGGTGTACAAAAATGTACAAATATGACATAAAAGAGGTTGCGAACCACATGATATGAATTTTTCAACTACGTTACGATGCCCTAAAGGACCACAGATGATTGATTTGCTTTTGCGAGAAGCGGTGTAGAAATATGGAAAGTCAATTGCCAACTGGACAGTAGTATCTTGCTAAAGTACTTCTCATGGCTAAATGATTGATCAGCTCATAAGACATGTATATTAGTGGTATATGATGTTCTCGTATGAATCCCATAATAATTAAATTGGTATTCTAACATAATCTCCACTAGCTTCTTATTTTTTCCCTTAATTTGTTAAGGCCATGCTGGAACGGAATGACCCGTGTTTAAAATATGTCAATGATGGAGCTGCTATACGCAACCCATTTGCTATTGACCGAAAAATTCAACTGGTCCATTTAACTTCACTATTATGTAAGTACGTTTTCAGATATAACATACATGCTTCACTATTTGTTTGTGATAAAAATGTAGGAAATTATTAAACTTAAACATCCTTTCAAATGTTAAAAAGTTAAGCGACCAAAAGGCTGGTATTATATATATATATACTGGTTTACTTTAATGAAATGTTCTAGACTATTTATGTTGATGAGAGATTACTCTGACAGTAGTTCCTAGTGCGTCACTCGAATCTATATCATCAATATTTTATTTAGTTGAGAGACTAGTCTTACCAAATCCTGGCATTTTGTACAATTGTTTGGAAACTAAAGAATATCAATTAATGGTACAGTACAATCACATTTCCAGACAGTTACACGGAAACCACTCTATTAAATATTTTGAAATTATTACTGAAGTTATTACTATTATTATATTCACAGTACCTTACATAAGCATTTTATTATAGCAATTGATAGGAAGACTAATTACTTATAAGGCCAGGTGAAATTTAATTCTGTTCAACCGAGAATAACACATTCTAACAACTAGTGTTTAACTGACTGTTAACTAATGGTGTGTGTGGCAGTTATTTTATAATGTTACAGCAGCCATCTTAAGACAGTAACAGAAGGAGAACAAACAAAATGTGGTCAGACCTAGTGTTGGGATTACAATTTTTATAGGTTAAGTAATAATATACAAATGAGTGGATAACAACAAAATATTAAAATATCTTTTAACAAATATATTTATTCGCTTGGTATTGTTTTGCTTGTATCTTCCCATTGAGGTTCAAGACTGTAATTGATCAGCCTGTTATTGGTATATGTGCATGCTGTGCGCATGCCTCGATATTGCCTGAGATGCAGGTACATCTAGCTGACGAGTCCCAAATGGAACGAAACGCGCGTCCTGGATTCCATTGCTAGCCACTATCCATCTTTGCTTATAAAATATATTTGTTTACAAATGATTACAAGTAATTTATAGATATCAAGTTTGTTAGTGTTATGATTACATGCCATACACTTCGAGGTGATTTTCCTCCTGAATTGAGAACAGCTAAGTGTTTATTGTTATTCAGGTAGTATTGAAGAGACTATCAGTTCAAACTTAATTACCTCTTGACAGTACTAACTTAATACTCCAAGAAGTATCTAACATAAAACTTAAAATTACTAATATGTACTATTACATTTCTATTCACCGCCTTGCAAGAACTGTGTTTGCAATGTAACTTGAGTTTTTTTATTTAGGTTATTAAACGGGTTCCCGAGTTGAATACTGCTGACGAGTCCGTGATCTAGAACGAAACAGCGATCTGATATTTTCAGGTGCTTTAAAAATTGTCTGACTCCTAACAGTTCATGATAAAAAATAACTTGAAAACAATAACTCATTCATACATCAATCTTTTTACTCTTTTACAGAGTAGATTAATGAAGAGGAGTTTATTTGTAGCTACAGTATTGTTTATATAATCTACAATGTTCTCCAAGCATCTAAAATACCCCATAAACATAACTTGAAACATCACTGACACCATGATCAGAATATCTATGAACTAGTAAAAGTTAAATAGTAAGATGAACTATGTAAGTAGGTATGTTGATGACTTAAGGCAATATCGGGGCAATCCGCACAGGTTTCACACATACCGATACTATACTGGTCAATAGTACTCCTAAATATCAATGGGAAGATTCAAACAACCAGTACAAAAATGAATTGGTTTTAGATTATCATGTGATCAGTTTAATATTTTTGGTAAAGATTGCGACTGTTGATCATTCATGAGTTAACCTATGCACGCGAGAATATCATTATATTTTGATAATGATGAACTTAATTAACCATAATTTTTTATGTAATTTTACTGATTTAATTTTTATTTACTCAAATCAGTGGTGAATTATTAAATAATATGTTATCTATATTATCATTTCTTTAATTGACCAGTTGTGTTTACCGATATGACTACTTTTTTTCATCAGTTTAGGGGTTGTGGAGATTGTTAAGTATTTTTTTATTGAGATCATGAACCGATTGATGTTGATGATGAGTCCCACAATAGGACGAAACGGCCGTCCAGTGCTTCCAGGTTTTCAATGGTGGTCTAACATCAATCGGTTCATGATCTCAATAAAAAAAATACTTTTTTTCACTCATACATCTAAATAAATGATTAGAATAATGATCATGATTCACAATATTGTACATTTCTTAGAATTGGAAATTATTCAAATTCCGACTACAAAATTGGTGATTGTTCGGTTCGAAACACAGTTTTAACAATATTTCTGATCACTGTAAATTAGTTGCTTTGGATAGAAATTAGTTTGACTAGAATGAGGTACATAGTTTATGCTTTTAGTGAATGTAAATGTGTTAAGCTTAAATGAAATATTGAATTTAGTTAGCAGTCATTCAGTAAATGGTAAAATGAGAATAACGAAACCAGGCAACTAGATAAAGTTCTTGTAACATTATTTGCCTAATCTACTTATTTTCAAAGGAATGTTAAGGTGCTAGTAACCCTAAGGCAAAAAAAACTTGGTTAAAATGTGTTTTAGTTGATAATTCTCATTCTTAAGATCACCACTCAATTTTGTTTCTATAATACAGTTAGCCTTTTTTTTCACCGTGAACAGTATATAACATGCTGTGAGATTATTTTATAACCATTTTACAGCATGAAGAGGGAAATTCATCAAAAGAATTATACATGAGAAACTTATTAATTAATGTGGATTTTTTTAATTTTTTAATGGCATTAAAAATATTGTTATTATTATGCCCCAATAACTCTTAATATTCGGGATAAGAGGAAATTTAATTTGTTTTCTCAATTGTCTTGATCTATAATTCTGTTTTTTATGCTTTATATTTAAAAAAGAGATTAAATATTAAGTCACTTTCGAAAAATAAATTATTCTTTTAACTTATAATTGTTTCAATCTTTCCGAATAAGTTTTTAATGGAATCAGCGTAATGTAATTAGGTGACTTTTACTAATTCGAAAATCCTCTCTGTTAAAAGCTACTCACCTCTTTTAACAAATAGTGGGTTAATTATGAGACCGAAAGCACCATCATAAAATCATCGAGGAACTTAACTTTTTTACTATCTTACCGAATACAAAAAGAGACTATAAGTTATATTTCTTTTCCGCAATATAGTTAAAAATGATGCTCATTGGTTATAATCTATGCATTTTATTGAATTTTTCTTCAAAATCAGGTGTCAAACTTGATAACGGTACATATTTGTGCAAAGGATGCAACCGTACAACTAAACGCTTAAGACCAATGCAACAACACTTACTATCACACAGTGCAAGTAAATTCAATCTGTGTGTTAAGTGTCTTAAAGGTTTCAACGATAAATACGATATGAAACGGCACACACGCAAACATACTCGTAAGTTTAATCTTCAATGTAAATATTGCATTATATATATAATTTATCCAATTACGGATTGGAGTTTCTTTTCCAGATCGAAATCCCAACATATTAATGTTTCCAAATCGAAACCGATTAAATTTAAGTTCAATTTGAGTAATAATCATGTTCCTTGATAGAATCATAATACCTTATAATTTCATGTAAACATAATAAGGGAAAACTAATGTGTGGATTTCCTACTTCAATACTAAATCTCTAGTCTTCTATCCATAAAAATGAAACATAATTGGTAATACTCTTCCATAATACACTCATGATTAATTCAGTGCTGTGAATTGACGGATTTTTGTTGGATTTATTATGTAGATTTCAGTCATTATAGTACTAAATAAACAATTACAGTGATAATTTTGATAGTCAGAAGAATGATTTTGCCTTAATGTTGAGATGCGTTTGTTCTGAGTAGATGTAATGTATCTTCCTGAGTTAAATACGAAATTACATTGATGTTTGTCTAAATATACTCTACTTTAAGCAAATAACATAATGCTACTATTTAATTATCAATAATACAATTTTTGCTTTTCATTCCAAAAAATAACTACAGTTGTACGCCCGTATGTCTGTCCAGAATGCGGACGATCATTTAGCCAGCGTTGTTCATTAGAAGGTCATCGACGCAAAATACATAGGATTCAGTTGAATTATCCACCAAATCAACGTCGTGAAATAGTACGTGTTTGTGAAACCTGTGGTTATTCATGTCCTAAATTATATGATATGTTACAGCATACATTAAATAATCACCCAAACAGTAACTGTTTACCAAGACTACAACGCCAATTAATAAGATATAAAGAAAAACTCCAGAGTACTTCACTTAGATCAGATGATGACAACCGATCTTCAAATATACGAGATACGCTAGGAACAACTCGTAATTGGTCTTGCATATCACCATTTTCAAACAATCATAATTTCACTTAACCAACTTCTTTTGTGAGCAAAAATTCTGACTTCAAGGACACAACTTAATAATCAAATACTTTTATTTCTTTATCGTTTTTTTACTGCAGAGTCATAAATATTTTATTTTACTATCAAATCAGCTTTTTTTTAATCCAGAAAACAGAAAACGGTTCTATGTAAAGCATCATTTTCTTTGTTTATTTGGTGCTAATTCTGTACCACACAATGATAGTGTACCATTATAAATATTATCCCTTTTTATTTCTTATTATTAAACTATTTACATACTATGAGCTCTTGTGTATATCGTCTTCGAAATGAACAAAGTTAATTTCTTCTGTAGAAAATATGAACCTGGTTATTATTTGTACGAAAACATTACTAAATATAAAACATTACCATCCACAGAAATATTTTTTTCAACATTTAAACTTTTGTTTAAACAAATCCGTGGACTTTTCTACAGGGTCAATGCACCGAAGAACCGAAAGAATTTGAACTTAAAGTTTAGTACACGGTTTGCAATTACTGCAACTTCTATTATGCAAATAATATTATAGATGACTCTCTGAATATTGTAGCATATATAAAAAATGCCGTTATACAGACAGGTGAAAAAATAATAAGCAAGAAATTTAGGTCGATTATTCTCACCGAAAAAATGGACTAATTTTCTAGATATTTGAAGAAACATATCTATATGCTTAAGGGAGTAATCTTTTGTCATAGTGTTTGAAATCTAGTTAACTTTCACAATCAACCAATTATTTTTTAAGATAACAGCACTAGTAATAATATTCAAGAGTAAGGTGTTCAGTATCACAATTTGAAACCCTCAGATAATTTATTTGGACCATTTAATGCACTTGTTGTAAAATATGGTAGTGAGGTATTTTGAATTCAAAACAAGACAAATATTTATTGAATGTGAACTAATCTTGAAAAAGATTAATAAAAATATGCGTTAGTAAGGGTTTCGTAGCAAATCCTCGGATTCTAAATAAACATAAGAAAGTGCGTTTAAAAAATATGTAAGTCTGAAAATTGTTCTAAACAATTTATCTTTTAGATAACTGTTTCAAACAATATCAACTTAGAATAGAACCGTAAAGTTTCAATCCTTTAAATTAAGGTTGAACTCAATACTATTAAGTAATGTTTCACGTGATCTCGCCCACTAGTAATTAACCGGACAGTTTATTAGTATTTTCGTATACTACATTTACAAAAGGTTTCTTGCGACTTTCACTTTACGGTTAGGTATTGCACATTCTCATTTGATTGACATTCCATTCAGCTGTGTATTTAGAATGATACGTACTGACTTTATTTGCTGATAATATTTAGTAACAGTTTCTGGTGGGAAACTTTTCATTCTTGACTGTTAACTTTCTTATTGTTTGTAAAATTATCCGGGGAATTTTTTTGGCGGGGGTAAATATTTTAAAAGGCTGACTCGACTATTTGTAGATAAACTATGGTCTTATTCTCCCTATTTTTAAAAAATAATGATAAGAGTGAAGCAACAAACGGAAGGGACAGTTTATCTACTTTAGGGTGCAAAATCGTGATATTTGCTGCAATAGTTAGACATTTTACTTTGAAAAACTACCACTACACGGTTAGATAATTCACGAATGAAAACAACCAAACACATCTTACCACATTTGAAACTAGTAAGAATAAAGTACAATGCATCAAAGTTAACTTAATTGGTACAATTTATTCCTTTCCCTACAAATTCCTATGCATATTGAGCATTAGAACAATAAACTGAAATACAACTAGACGAACATTTATACAAAGTGTGCAAACATGTCACATTATTGTATTTATTTCTAACATCTCGCATCAAAAAGAAATATGCATAGCAATATTCCAATTATAAAGTGAATAGGCTACATTTAAGGGAAGATGGTAGTACCATTGATATTAGCTTTCAGTTGATTACAAGTGTAGAATTAAATGTCAGATTACTCATGTATAGTTCAGATAACCATGGTATCATCTATATATATCGTTCTAATCATAGTTTGTTGGTGGTTAAAAAAGCATTCGTAAATCACAAACAGTCCGTTATCATTAATCATAACAGACTTCACTTTACGTTCTCGATTTTGTCTAGATCGTAACGTCACTGAGGGTGTTAGTGATAAAAACTAACATTAGAAATGCGACTCCCACTTCCTTTATTTTGGTTGTTTTTGAATACGCTAATATAAATAAAGTCTGAAAAAAATGTACCATACGAAATGATTATGTAATAAGTGAAGCAACAACAGTTTAGTTTTAATATGTACCCTCAGCACTTATTTTCAGTATTGACTATAATCCACATAAAAAGCGATTGTTATGAACAGGAAGTTATTAAACTTTTGAAATGAAGTGATAATATAACCTAAACACTTAATTTGTTTAGAATTGAATACTCTATTGATTATGGATTATAAATACACATATTTGAATGTGTGTCCACATATATAGAGGAAATATAGTTTACCAAGAAATGAAGCTGATCCGCATTTGTGTCTTTCAATTATTTCCACTCCTATGGGCAATGACGTAATCAATAATCGCAATCCATATTCTCATCAGTTCGAAATTTTTTCCGAAAATAAAAATAATAATATATATTTATTTTAACAAATAAACTGAATTGTTAAGGGGGATTAGGTTCATTCAAATTTGATTTAAGCCTTTTTGTCCCCCCCCCCACCATAGAAGCATTCGAAACATATAAGGCGTTATTGAGAATTAATTCTCCTCCCCTTCAATAGCAAAACGGTCCGCCAACCGATGTTTGCACACTGAGCTCTCTACGAGTGAGTTTCAAAGAAGTTCATTAATGTTTGGTCCTTTAGGACAGTTTTGACTTATTAAACTTAGTAAATAAATAGTGACTATGAATGTAGTCTCAGGAAAACCTAGATAGCAATCGGATACCGACAATTCGTGTCCAAAGTATCACTCCTGAAACTTATAATTTGAGCCATCAGAACCAAGCAGTAACTTGATTTTAATATTATTCCGCTCCCCGAGTTTGATTGCTGGTCTAGTGAGAGAAAAATATGAGCGTTTCCTAACGAAATAAATCCTATAACAGTTCAGTGAGAATAACTGGTAAACTATTGTTTTTGATCAGATTACTTAGCTTTCCGAATTAAATATGTACATAAATGATGAGAGCACCTCATTATTATTACAGACACTATGAGCCTCAATTTAGCTGGTGAATAGCTAAAATTGAAACTCTGGTCATGACTTTATAAGTATTTCTTCAGTTTTCTATAATAAGTTGTCAAACAAAACAATCAAACTTTTGTTAATTCAGTGTTTGCGTTTGTTCGAATTCGGACGCGTTCAACTTTAAATATTTGATTGACAGAGAGATGTTTTGCTTAATATTATTTTAATTTTCTTATCCACCATGCAAAACTTCAATGATCATGATGAAACGTTGTAAACTATTAAGTAAACAGAAGTTTTCATTTCATAACACCCAATTGTTTATTATGCTTCTATTTTGAACTTCTTTATTTTCAGACAGATCTCCAAAAGTGTTGATTATAGTTATATAATTTTGAAAGTAAAGAGACAATTTCATAGTCTATTGGTTCTGAAGTTCCTGAGGTAAGTTAAGCAACACACTTTTTTGACCTGTGTTTTGCATTAAAAATGTCCAGTTATGAAAAATTATTTATATTCTCGTGTACTTGTTAGCCACTTTTATCACATGACATGAGAAATATTTAGAGATTGTATTTAGAATCTATTTCTACCTTGTCAGTACTGAGTGACTGATTTCCTGAAATACAATTAATGTGTAGAATATTATAGTGGAGTAGACAAAGGCAGATTCACCTTTAAAATAACCTGAGATCAGTTGAGAAGTGTTATTCGAATAAATGATTATGAATTTATCAGATCTTCGATTTGTAACAGTGTGACACGCACCTCTAAAACTAATCCAAGTGGGAAACTAAAAGCCACTAAACTTCCTTTAAAAAATAGCTAGAATTCTTATTCTTTTAATGGTCAATTAGTACTTGTAAAGGTTTGTATTTTATTATTATTAATATTAAGGACTGAAAATGATCATACTCTATTGAAATATGTGAATCCTGAGAGGATGATCATGGTAGAACGGATAGCGCACACTAAAATTAATGCAGTTTAATGTTCGAAGTCAGTTGTCGAAGAGATAAAAAAAGTAGATGTATATATATAGATACCTAATATACATTTTTAATTAATTTCTGTAAATCTATTGAAAAATAAAAATGAACTTTGTGGTCTTTCTCAAAATATTGTACATTGAGCAAGTAATATCAATGTGCATTTGTAGGGAATAAATTAAGAGCTAGTTTATCCAATTTCATTATAAATTGTTAAGAAGTGATTTCCAATAAATTACTTAAAGAACCGAGTGTTAGATGTGCAGATACATAACATTAATCCTGCCCATCATAAGAAGATAATGAAAACGGGAAATCATTCTGTCCTGATTGTCATACTTAAAAAACAAAGAGTGTAGTTATGGTTCAATACAATATTTTAGGTAGATGTAATAAAGGAAGCGAATTCTAGCAAATTTATTAAGTTAGCAAGGTGGATTTCAGGCCGGATTAAAATGAAAATGATATTTCTATTAGCATTTGTTGATAGAATTCCTGCGACATTGTTTAGTGTCGCAAGATGGCGTGTCAGTTTATGTCGACAAATATCGAAAAGAGTTTTGATGCTGATAAGAATTGATTTCCTTAGGTTTCTTTTTAAATACAATGTAAGAACTTTATACAGGACACCTAGAATTGAGTCACTGTGACCGGCAAACATATGATAAACGGTTTCTAACTTAAATAATTTAATACCATCATGTAGCTATTTTTTAATAATAATTGAAGATTATTTGTCAATTGTCTTTTACATTTCAAATAACTAATAAAACCTGTTGAATATAGCTGCTGTGAAAAAGACAAGATTTCCAATCCCATACAGAGATTTCAGTTAAGTTAACC